GGTCCTGGCTTCCTCGCCAGCCATCATCACCCAATGTGGCTGGAAGCAATCTAGAAGGGTCACTCCCATCTCCTGGCAATGAGACAGCATCCCTGACCCCGCAATCCCACTCCCTTCCACCATGCAGGCAGCTGGAGGCAAGTCTGGTCACGTCTCCCCACTGGTGAATATGCTTCAGGAAGTCCTTCGCAGGGCAGTTGAAGTCCGTTGAACCTGGCTACTCTTTAAGCTCATTTCCTCTCACCGCTCACACCCTGTTCCACTCTGTTGTGTTGTTGTTGTTAGGTGCCATCGAGTCAGTACTGACTCATAGCGACCCTGTGCACAACAGATAGAAAACATTACCCAATCCTGGGTCAACCTCATAATCACTGCTACACCTGAGCCCATTGCCAATCCACCTCACTGGGGGTCTTCCTCTTCTACTCTAGTCTGACCAAATACTTGATTCACCCCTAACTTTCTCAGGCTTTTGCACCCCAGTTCTCTCTTCAATCAGAAGGCTTTCCTGGCCTCCTGAACCTGAATAGCAACCCCATTTCTCTGACCTCTAGGTCTGGATTAATTTTCCTTACTACTAACTGATAAAGGAGTTCTGGTAGCATAGTGGTTACGAGTAAGGCTGCTAACCTCAAGGTCAGCATTTTGAAACTATCAGCCGTTCCATGGGGGAAAGATGATGTTTTCTGCTCCTGTAAAGATTTACAGCCTCAGAAATCCTATGCAGGGTAGTTGGAACCGACTCCACGGCATATCACCACCACCAGCAGCTGATATTATCTGTTTAGTTTCTTACTGTCTCTCTTCCAATCCAATAAGGAAGCCTTGTTTTACTAGCTACTGCGTCCCCAGCCCCTAGAGTGGTGCCTGGTAAGAATACAGTATGTAACATACAGTATGGAACATTGGGAAGTGGCGGGGTATTTATTTCAAGCCAAGTGGCTGCATGAGATCAGTAAGGAAGTCAGCTGGAGAAGATCTGCCAGGACCAAGTCTTGAGCACCCCCAACATTCAGTCACTGATATGAGGAGGAAGCAGCCAAGACAGCCCAAGAGTCATTGAGATGGCAGGAAATTCAGGGGGGGGTCCTGAAAGTCAGGAGAGGAATGTTTCCTAAAGAGGAGGGACCAGCCACATCACTGATAAAGTGTAAGGAATTAGGACTGATCACCGACCATTGAATTTAGCCATATGGAGGTCAGTGGTGAACTGGACAAATGAATTTTTAGTGGAGTTGCAAAAATGATGTGAAGAGCATGCCTGACCTCCTCCGACTTCACGATTCAAATCCACACCATCCCAAGGCTGATTTATGAGGCAGCAGTCAGACATGTCTCCATCCTCCAACCTTTTTACCTTATTCTGATACCAACTATCACTCCAGGGCACTCTAGTTCTCTGCTGGGTTTGATAACCCCTTGTAATGGCTACACAGAACTCACAGATAAGTACCATGAATATGGGGTTTATTAGGGAAGTGAACAGCAAGGATACAGCAGTTCTCTGGTCAGGAATGTCCCTACTCAGTCAGACCCACAGGCACGCCTCTCTCCTTTGCTTCTCAGCTACTGGGCCCCTGGGACTCTGCCTTGCTCAGGCAAGTGATACAAGCCTATTTAGTGATGCTGATAAATGCCCAAAGGGCATCTAATTCAGTGAGCTAGTTTCCTGCCTGAAGACACTCAGTTTTACTTGGTCCGTGGGCCGGAAACCCGCTACTCTGTCTCTCCGTTCAGCAGCCTCTGCTGCTGCTGTTACTTCTCCACACAGGGATCTCACATTCTGCTCAGGATTCTTCTTTCTTAGTCTTCAGATCCTCTGTTCCTGCTTCTGAAATGGCTCATTTAAATAAACCCAGCAGAATAGCAAAACCAACCAATCCCTGCATTACACTTCTGTACACCTTATTTGCATGGCCCCACCCAATCATCTGGTGAGAGTTACAAAGCCTATGGTGGGGCACCAGCCTCATTGGAGTGAGTTTTGAAGAGAAAATGGGGGAAGATAAATTGAAGAAAGTGATTATAGAAAGAATTTTTCCAAGCATTTCTGTAGTAGAGTAGTTGGGAAACCTGACAATACCTGGAAAGAGAATGGTATCTGAGGAGTCTTGGTTTTGTTATTGTCATCTTTTAAATGGGAGCTGTGTCGACATGCTTGTGTGCAGATAGAGACGATGGGAAGGGGTAGGAGATTGATGTTGAAGAGAGAGAGGGAAGAACTGCTGGAGCAGTGTCCTTCCGTAGGCGAGAGATGCTCAAGTCTGGTGCTCCGGTCTGTGTACTCAAGGTCATAGAGTATCTGGGCACAGACACAGGGGAGAGGACAGGTGTGGTAGTGGGAAGCTGAGGAAGTTCTCTTACCCCTTCCCATCTGTGTTTTCTTGCTGCTTGCTTAATCTGCTTTTATAACTCAACAGAGATAGAATGAGATATTATAATCTGATTTGGAAATGGAGTTATCCTAGTACTGACTCATGAACTTAACAAAGAAACCCCATTTCCAAATGAGGAGCAGCTGGTGAGTCTGTAGTCCAGCGCAGTAACCCACCGCACCATACCAGACCTCCTCCCTTAGGGCTGGCACCCTGAGTTGGGCTTTGTAGCCTCACAAGCAGCAAGAAAGTAAATTTCTGTTTGTTAAAGTCATGTACCAGTGATACGGCTGCTATAGCAACACAAGATCACCAAGATACATGGTAAAAGGGGCTTTGCAGATGTGTTTAAGACTCTTGAGATGGGGAAATTGTCCTGAAATACACATGAGGATACCGTGAGTTGGAATCAACTCAATGGCAACGGGGTATTCATATGGGTCCAATGTATTCACAAGCATCCTTACCAGAGGGACCAGAGGGAGATTCGACTATAAAAGATGCTACAATGCTGGCTTTCAAGTTAGAGAAAGGGACCCATCAGCCAACAAATGCAGTTGGCCTCAAGAAACTGGGGAAATACCCTAATGCCTGACACTACCCATGTCTCAATGAGCAAGTATTTATTACACTCTTACTTCAGATTCTTCCCTGAATCCACCAGAAGAAATGCAGCCTGAACTAAGAGGAGTAAGTCAGAGGTCATCTCTAGAACAGGATTCTACCTGGGGCTCCCAGAACCTTCCTGCTGACCTGAGCATCCAGCCATGGGCCTCACAGGTAGGCAGAGCCTCCAATCCAAGTGAAGAGGTAGTCTTGGTGAGATATCCTCACCCCCACTCCCAAGAGGAAGCTGAGGAGATGGTGGTGACAAGGGTTTCCTCCATGGTCAGCTGAGTTATACTGGCGTGAAGCTGCTGCCTTATTATCCACAGGCCTGAAGGAGTGGCTGCCTCTCACAGTCCAGCCACAACATGGACATCAGACTCCAGTACCCACAATCTCACCTCTCCCTACACATCTAGTTGGTAGCAGGCAAGCACAACCACAGCCAGAAAGTCAGGGCTCAATATGTAAAACAAAAGGTTTCTTTATAAGCAGGAACACTGTTTCGCATACAGAGCAACTCTGATTATTTTGAATTAACACAAACCAGGGGAACTGAAGCCACACCCAGAGAGCCTTCCTTCCAATTCATCTTTTCCCTGGGTGATGGCAGGCAGATCTGAGGTCCTCTCAGTACCACCCACTAGGGGGCAGATGCGTTCCATCACCATGCAGAGTCTGATTGGGCAGAGATCCTGGCCAGTCTAGGCAGTTTGCCATCTTGATTCCAGGATGGGAAGTCCTGCTTGTCTCCGTTGTAATGGATAGTTCAGGGTCTAAGTTCAAATCCGGTGGACTTTATCAACAGGGAATTCAAGTACCTGGGACGAAGTCAGCCTTTCAAGACTCCTCATAACCCCTTCTTTTTGGAATCTGGTTTAGTTCACATGTGTCCACTCTCTGCAGGGTTCTGGGTATGAGTTTGGTGGGATGTGGCTGACTCTATAATTGGGACAAAATCCCTTGGCAAAATGGCTGGTTTTAGATACTTCAAAGCAGATTGTCCATCCTGAGGACATTTAGCTATCCAGACACACAACACAGACACAGACACACAACCAAGAGGGTTCTCAGCAGCTCACATACACTCAGAATCCGTAGGTACAGTACCAAAATGACTTTGCAGTTATCCAAGGCCTGGGACTCTAGGAACGGAGGGAAGAGGCTAGGGGGACAGAGGTGGAAGGAGGGTGACTTAGGCTGAGGTAGGAGGAAAGAGACGCCTGTCAGGTCGGAGACACCTGCAGTTCCAGCAATTCCCTGATACAAGAAGGTGTAGCTTCACACCAGTGAGGGAGATGGCAAGAGGTGATGTTGTGGACAACTGGAGTGAAGGTCACACGCAGTTCAATGGTGAGCCAGGGACTGCAGGCACCTTCAGACTTTTGTTTTGTTTTGTTTGCCTGAATAGTGCTTACTTTTTTTTTTTTTAATGGTCACATATTAAAATAGGAAGATTTTTGGTTAATAGTTTGTCTTCAGTCTCACTGAGGTTGTCTACCTGGGGCTTCTGAGCACCTGATTTTCACACTGTGGAACAAGAGGATAAGTTGGCAGAAAAGGACTTAGAGGAGGTGCTTTATGAGGGTCCTGAGTAAGGTGAGAGACCTGTGTCTGCAGGGACTACCATCCCCTCCTCACACAGAACCATCAGCAAATGGCCACCCTGGCCTGGCTGCTTCCTGGAACTGTCCCACAGTCTTAACATTCAGGAGACGGGGAGGGTGCTATGGCCTCTGGGGAAGTTAGAACTGGGTCAAAACACACCAAGGGCCCCAGAAGCCAGTCTGGCAGGTCCAGCTGGGGGCAGCTTAGAGAGGCAGGGATTCGGCTCAGGCTGACAAATGAGTCTAGGGCCAAGTTTGCCATCATCCAGCTAGATCTCCAAGACGGCAGATGAGAGTCTCCACAACCCCTCCCTGCTTGCAGGAGAGAGGGAGGCGGAGGCTGTGCTGGCCACTGAAGAAAATGGCCCAAAGAGAGTCACCAGGATTGCTTTGAGGATTGCCCAGCCACGGGTCAACGCCCAAGGCTGACATAACCCCCGCCAGCTGGTGAACTGGACTTCATCCCAACATCTGGCACGCCCAGAGGTAGAGACTTCTCCTCAGGGCTCTGCTGCAGCGTCTCCAGTGCCCCCAGCTGTGATTGAAAGGGGCGCTCCTCCTTGGAGAAGGGGACCTCCTCATCCTCTGGAGAGCCCGAGGGGCTGGCATTCATGTCCCCCGACATGGAGCTGGTCTGGGAGGGGCACTGGGAACCATGGTCCGAGCTGCTGCAGACATTCACGATGCAGGTGACGTTAACCTGAGTCCCATAGCCGCTGGGGGAAGGCACTGCTAAGCACAAGACAAGAGAGGGAGGTCAGTCCAGTGGTCTCAGAGTGGACAGTGTGTTCATAGCCTATATCTCCTACCAAAGAGTATTTGTGTGTGTGGAGGGGGGGGGGAGAGGGGAGTGTATGGACTAGGAAGAGGACAGAGTTGTGCCCCACTCTGCTGGGTGACAGACAGAGTTTCCTCATATGTCAAAGTAAGAAGAGCATTACTGCCTTCCAGCCAAACATACCACATGGATGGGAAGAGTCATTTAGATAAGGGAGCTGGAAGAACTCCAAGAACAAAAGAACATTCCCCACAATAATTTCCTCAGTCACTTGTTTACACCAGCCCCTGGGCCCAGGAGGAGCAGGGACTTTTTGACTGTTCCCTGCCGTATTCCTGGTAGTTCTGGGATGACACTGTAAGATAAGCACTGGGCTGCTAACTACAAGGTCAGCGGCTCAAACCCACCAGTCGTTCCTTGGAAACTCTATATAGGGTCCCTATGAGTCAGAACCGACTCAACGGCACTTATCAATGACAATGACAATGGGACAGGGACACACGCGGAATGAATAAAATTCAGCCCACAGCTGTTTTGTTCTTTTTGGTGGTAGTGTCTGGCTGACAACATGGAGGATTCAGAAGTTTCCATTTTAACCATCTGGATTGCTGGCTTTCCCTGGAGCTACAAGTAGGGCAAGTGGCTCTGCAGGGCGCCCATTCCTGAGGGCCAGCAGCGGCAGGACTCATCCAGCACTAGCAGTTACCTGCATTTCCTAACTAGTTGGTACGGAGCTCAAAGATGAAGCAAACTGGAGACAAATGTCAGGGTCTGGACATAGCATCGTCCCTCAAAAGGTTCCAGTTGCTCCTGCTGCTATAGGGACCTGCTGAGGGCCTGAGTGCATGTGGTGTCCGAGGTACGTGAGGAGGGCTGGCCCTTTGGTTCCCCTGATCCTAGGAACTTAGGGGAGCTTGAGAAGAGGCCCAGAACTGGTGAGCTGCTCTGCTTATAACAGCCCCCAACAGGCTGGGGGAGTTATGGGACTGAGATCTTAGGGCAGGGAGGAAATTTCCACCCTTGAGCCTCTCCTTACAACACCCAAATGTCACCCAAAGTCACTGTGGCCTTTGCATATGGGGAATGAGATGTGCGGGGGCGGGTTGGAGGCACAACCCTGGGGTATACAAGTTCCCAGAGTGGAGAAAACGGGGAGAGGAGGAGAACAGAGAGCAGGAGAGGCAGAGGGGAGTGGGGATGTACAGGCGGGGGCAGACACCAGTGCCAAGGAAGCCACGCTGGGAGGCTGTAGACCAGGCTAAGGAATCAGAAACACACATCCAAGGGCTCGGACAAACACTAAGAGTTTAGATTTGGAGCTCATTCATTCACTCAACAAACATTTCAGGCCACCTGCTCTGTTCCAGGCCCTGGCCCAGTGCCTCCCTCCATAAGTTCTCAGGCTCAGGGGGAGGGGCACTGAAAAGACATTTCACTCCACCTATGATGGAGAATCAGAGACCCACCTGCATTCAGATCAGGAGGTGTTCCTGCGTCAGGTGACAGGAAGGACATGAGTACACGTGGGCAGAGGGCATGAGTGCAGGCAGGGAGGAGTAAGCAGGGGCAGCATGTTAGGGGAGCCGCAGAATGTGGTGCACGGGAGGGGGCTGCAGGTAGGGCACAGCTGCCTAGAGGTGGCCCAGTGAGTTAGTGACCCAACCAGCACCAAGTGGGGCATACTGTCTCTCACTGCCTCACTGAGAGGTTAAAAAGTCTGCTCAGATTCACATGGCACCCAAGTCCCTGAGTCCACGGCCACTCCCTCACTGCCCTCCAGCTGAAGGCAGAGACGCGGGTCAGCAGCAAGGTCCAGCAGCAGCCCTGGCCTCAGCACTACAAAACTAACCTGAGGAAGCTCGGGAGCCCCTAGGGACCCCTACTGGGGTCTGGGGGATTATTGCAGATTCCACTTTAGGAGTGTCATCTGTGAGAGCCCACGTCTGGGGGACACATGCAGACTGCATGAACCCTATACTTCTCCATAACCCACATGGGCTCCACATGGGGAGCCCTGGAGGTGGCATTAATCATCAATCTTCTAGCCTCTGGCTCTTCCAATGGCCACCTGCGTGCCTTTGAACAAGTTGCTTAACCTCCCTGGGCCTCAACTTTCTCATCTGTAAAATGGGGACAATCATAATAGCTACCTCTTGCATTGATTTGTGGATTAATTTTATGTCCCAGAATACTGCCTGGTGTACCACAAGAACTAAGCCGAAGCTGGTATTATTATTGTTGTTGTTGTTGTTAGCCACGCAGAGTATGGGATAAATGAGTCGGCCCAGGGTTACAAGGAGTGCTACAGCCTGGGGAGGGTAGAAGAACAAACTGTGGCAAAAAAAAAGGGAAGAAGGGCCAGAAGAGTAAGGGAGGTGGGGAGGTAAGGGGCCAGAAGGCTTCAGGAAAACTCCCCGCCTGGAATACTGGAGACTTAAGGACAAGTTGGGGTTGTCCAGGTGCAAGGAGTGGGATGAAGGAGGAAGACTGCTAAGACAACTGGGCAGGAAAGCAGAGGGATGAGGCTGAAAAGCAAAGTCAAGGTCACACCCTGCCCCCTGGAAGAGCTCAGAGCTCACCCTACAGCAAGGGCCCAGATGGGGTGAGGTGAGATGGAGCAGAGCCAGGAGCCCTCTGCCTCTTACCTGAGCTCACACCGCTGGTCTGGGTCGCCCCAGCACCACTGGTCTTCTCCATGTCTGGTGCCTGGGACTGGTTCCTGGCAGTCTCCCTCCTGTCCGGGGTGTTGGCTGAGCTCTCCAGAGAGCTGCTGCTGGAGCTGGGAGCTGTGGTCAACAGTTGCTGCTCCTCGCGGCCTGGTGCACCCCGGGCCTTATCAGTCAGCAGGTGAGACTGGACAGGGAGGAAAGGAGGGAGGTGTCAGCGCTGGCAGCCAACTCCTCCTCTTCCTCCTTCGCACTAGCACCTGCTCCCTTCCTGTCAGCAGTTCACAGTTCACACATCACTTCTGCCCACACCTGCGCATGCTTTCCACACACAGCGCTTTTTGCAAGGTCAGATTCACTGTGGCTTTTTTGTTTCTGTGATTCGTGCCTGGCTTCCCTACAGGGCAGAGGTCAAGTGGTCCTGCTCACCAAATAGTTGTGGGACAGTCAGAGTTTACACCTTATTTGGTTTAAGAAAACCGAGACCCAGAAAAGTGACTCTACTTAAGGGCACTCCATCAACATAGAGAGACACAGCTCAGATTAGCAGCCAAGGGCATGAACTCTGGAGTCAGACCATGTGTGCAAACCCTGACTCCATCACTCATAGCTGTGTGACCTTAACCCTGACTCCATCACTCATAGCTGTGCAAGTCACTTAACCTCTCTGCGCCTCTTGTTTTTCCATCTAAAAAAAAGTTATCAAGTTGAATCCAACTCACAGTGACATCATGTACGTCAGAGTATAACTGTATCCTATAGGGTTTTTGGACGTAGATCACCCAACCTTTCTGAAGCAACATCTCTGGGTGGACTCTAACCTCCAATCTTTAGATCAGTAAAATAAATAATAAAAACAGTTGCCATCAAGTGGGTTCCAACTCATGGTGACCCCAAGTGAATCAGAGTGGAACTGTGCTCCACAGGGTTTTCAATGGCTGATTTTTCAGGAGTAGATCACCAGAGTTTTCTGAAGAGGTACCTCTGGGTAGCCTCAAGCTTCCAAACTTTCAGCGAGCAGCTGAGTGCATTAACCACTTGCATCTGGGACTCCTTGATAAAGGGAGGATTATAGACAGTGAATAAGGAAGACCGTAGTAGAATTGATGCTTTTGAGTTATGGTATTAGAGGAGAATATTGAAAGTGCCATGGGCTGCCAAAAGAACCAATAGATCCATTTTGGAAAAAGTGCAGCCAGAGTGCGTCCTTGGAGGCCAAGATGGCTAAACTTTGTCTCTCATACTTCAGACATAATGTCCAGAGGGACCAGTCACTGGAGAACGATATTATGTTTGGTAAGGTGGAGGGTCAGAGAAGGAGAGGAAGACCCCAACAAGATGGATTGGTCAGGTGGCAGCATCAATGGGCTCAAGTGTGGCCACAGTAGTGAGGTTGGTCCAGGATCGGACAGTGTTTCGTTCTGCTGTGCATAATAAGGTCGCTATGAGTTGGTACTGACTTGAAGGCACTTAACAACAACAACAATAGACTACCTCATGGAATTGTGATGATTAAACAATGCGGTATTTATAAAGTGCTTTAGAACAATGTCCGGTGCTTAGTAAGTTCCATGCAGGGGTCTATAAATGAAGGGTCAACAAACTATGGCCTCTGGGTCAAATCTTACCCAAAGCCACCTGTTCACAATGGATGATTTCCACATTTTTGAAATGGCTGGGGGAAAAGAAGCACAGTACTTCCTGACACGTGGAAATCACATGAGATTCAAAATATAAGATTTTACTGGAACATTGTTGTTGTTGTTGTTATGTGCCATCGAGTCGGTTCTGACCCATAGCGACCCTGTATATAGCCATGTATATTTGAGTCTGTATTGTCTACAGCTGTTGTTGGAGTGCCCAGGTAATATACAGGGCTAATGTACTCAACTGTTAACCAAAAGGTAAGAGGTTCAAATCCACCCAGAGCCTTCTCAGAAAACAGGTTTGGTGATTGACTTATAAAAATAAACTAAAATAACCATTGAAAATCCTACTTTCATACACATGGAATTGGCAGGAGTCGAAATCAACTCAACCACTGGCCTGCCTTTATGGTTGCTTTCATGCTGTAACAGCAGAGGTGAGTAATCATTACAGTGACATCTGGCCCATGTTATTGTTACTGTGAATGTTGGGTATTGTTGGGTACTCATAGCGACCCAATAGGACAGAACAGAACTGCTCCTATAGGGCTTTCAGGAGTCCTGGTGTGGTGCTGTGGGTTAATGCGTCAAAATGCCAAGTCGTTTGAACTGCAAGGTCGGTGGTTCAAGCTCACCAGCTGCTCCTTGGAAACCCTATACAAGGTCGCTCTGGGCCAGAGTTGACTCGACGGCACTTCACAACGACAGTAGGACTTTCAAGACTGTAATCTTGGCAGAAGCAGATTGCTCCGTCTTTTCCCTCTCAGAGCCACTGGTGGGTGTGAACTTCCCGATTAGCAGCTAAGTGCTTAACCATGGCACCACCAGGGCTCCTTTATCTGGCCCATAAAGACATTTACTATGTGGCCTTTTACAGCAAAAGTCTGCTGAGCCCTGTGTGCAGTCCAGTGCAGGCGCCCCTCCATTCAGGGCCTCAGCCATACTGTCTCAATTCCCCTTTCAAGACTCCAGTCCCCAGGCTGCTTTGGGACGCCTTCTTATGTCTTCTTTTCATAGGAGAACATGAGTAATAATAATAATTAAAAAAAAAAAAAAAAAACCACTGCCGTTGAGTCAGTTCTGACTCATAGCAACCCTAAGTAGGGTTTCCAAGGCTGTACATCTTTACAGGCACAGAAATCCTCATCTTTCTACAGAAGGAGCAGCTGGTGGGTTTAACTGCTGGGATCCTCAGTAATAATCAAATAGGAGATGGCATCTGAGTGTCAACCAATGCCCCACGTCCTCCTAGACACTCCTCCCGACAATCCAGTGTTATCTTTGCTTTCCAAAAGGTTTGGGAACTGAGACAGAGAGGTGGAGTGACTTGCTCAAGGTTACATAGGGTATGTGCAGCTACCCAAGGCCTGTCCTAGGTCTAGGGGTTCCAATCTGGAGGCTGGAGAGCCCCCAGAAATCCCTTGCCTTGGATTCTGGGTGACCACTGGTTCCCAGAAAGAAAGGAAGGGCAGAGGCCACATCCTCACCAGTCTGTCCTGAGCAGCAGGGTCTAAAGGTAGAATATGAACTGGGGCAAATGAAAGGCCAGCTGACACGGTCCCTGCCTGATGCTGAGAAGGTTGTTGGTACCTTATTCCCCAGGGGAATGCTGCAACACTCTGGCCTCCTTCCAGAACCTTATTGTCATAAAGTAGATTCCAACTCACGATGACCCAACAGGACGGAATAGAACTGCCACATCTTTCTCCTACAGAGCAGATGGTGGGTTTGAATCACCGACCTTTTGGTTAGCATCCAAGCGCTTAACCACTATGCTACCAGGGCTGCTTCTCCTTGCAGATGTTAGGTGCCATCGAGTCAGTTCTGACTCATAGCGACCTTGTATAGTGTTTGTGAGGCGTGAGTGGTGAGTTTGAACCAGCAATCTTGCAGTTCAAATTGACCTTTTGGTCCAGTGATTATCCTACAGCACCACACCTGGATTCCTCTCCTCAGAGTGGCTTACTGGTGGTGGTTATGTGCCATGGAGTCGGTTTCAACTCACAGCAACCCTGCATAGGGTTTCCAAAGCTGTAAATCTATACAGGAGCAGAAAGCCTCATCTTTCTCCCGAGGAATGTTTGGTAGTTTTGAACTGCTGACCTTGAGCTTAACAGCCTGACTTGTAACCATTACACTACCACAGTGAGGGAGCTACAATTCCAGATGTACATGAGCAGCAATTGGTTGAACCCTGACCCCAACCTGGATAACCTGCTCCTCTCTAGGCAATCACCCAGTCCCAGTCAGCCCCAACCTGCCCTGCTTGCTGTGACCTCTCAGACATCTGATCAATCTCCCCACAAGAACAGGAAGAGCCAAAGAAGGTTGGCCCTGTGCTCAGCACCACACAGTTGGTCCGTGGCAGAGGCACAGTGGAGCCCAGAACTGCCTGTTTTTCAGAAGGCAGCTGGGTCCACTACTCCCAGCACTGGAGGGATGGAAGGCTGTCCAGTGTTAGTTAGTTCATCATGTCAAAGCCCTTGCTCAGAAGGCTTATCTCGGCCACAAGAGGGGTGGGGGCCAAGCACACAGGGAAGGTGGTGATGTGCCGTGGAGTCAGTTCCAACTCATAGCAACCCTGTACAGGGTTTCTGAGGCTGTAAATCTTTACGGGAGCAGAAAGCCTCATCTTTCTCCTGCAGAACAGCTGGTAGTTTTGAACTGTCGCCCTTGAGGTTCACAGCCTGATTCGTAACCACTACATTACCAGAGCTCCTTGCAGGGGAGGAGAAACATCCAAATGTCACTCCCAGAGAAGGGGCTTTTCTGCATTCTGCCAGTTGGTTCAAAGGCTCCAGCCAGGCAAAACTGAAACCTGCAAAGGTCACAGTCCCCTCCCTCCCCAAAAGCCGCAAGTTGCAACAGTTCAGGCAGGCTCTGAAGGAAGACCCAGAAGGGGAGAAAAACAGGAATGCAGCCAGCCAGGCCCCTCACCGCCCAGCCACTCCCAGCCCGCCCTGTTAAGGCCAGATGCAGAGACCCTGGCAGAGCCCGTGTATGTGGGGGGATTTGGGTAACCTTATACATGTGAATGCACTGGCCTTTTCTGAGCAAAAGGGAAGTCACTGTCCCATCGTGCCCTAGGAATCATTTCTGTAGCAGGAGAGTAACAGTTGGGATGAGTCACCCCTCCCTGCAATTCTAGCTGGCCTCTTAGCAGGGACCAACTGCCAGCTAGCTGTGCTACAAGGTAGGGTTACTAACCCCTGAGAACAACTCGGGACAGCTTTGAAGCTTCGTTCTGGCAATAGGGCAAAGTGAAGTGTGCAGATGCAGACGGGGTTCAAACCCAGACTATGCCACTTCCCAGCACCTGAACCTCCCTGAGTCTGTTTCCTCATCTGTAAAATGGGCATGCCAGTACTTCATAGGGGTACATGAGGTTTCAGTGGTGGCACAGCCACACACACAGAGTCTCATCAGTAGTCCGAGCTTGGCCATGGTGAGAGTATTTATACCACGTTGTTGTTGTTAAGTACCATGGAGTCGGTTCCGACCCATAGCGACCCTGCACAGGGTTTCCGAGGCTGTAAATCTTTACAGGAGCAGAAAGCCTCATCTTTCTCCCGTGGAACTGGTAGTTTCAAACTGCCGACCTTGAGGTTACACTATGAACACTAGCAAATTCCAGTCCGGTTTTTCCCTCCTGGAGAGCTGGTGAGCAGCACACTACTGGGTTCATCATACAGCACACAGAAGTTGAGCTGCTCAAACTTGATTTAAATCAAAGCCCAAGAAGAGAAAGAGGAAGTGGAGGCCCCTGGGCCACCCTCTGGGAAGTCTTCGTGGCACCAAGTATTGGGAAGCCCTGAGTTGGGAGAAAGAACACAGCTGCAGAGAGATAAAGGCAGAGCTCAAAGGCACAACTGCTGGCATCAGTGAACTGAGGTCAGAAAAGGGAGGAGTGAGATTCACCTCCTGGAGAATGAGAAACAATTTGATTCTCCAAACCAAGGTGTGTTGTTGTTGTTGTTAAATGTTTTCGAGTCGGTTCTGCCTCATAGTGATTCTGTCTGTATAAGGTTTCCAAGAAGCGGCTGATGAGTTTGAACCACTGACCTGGAAGTTCAAACCAACTTTGTAGTCCAGCGTATTAACCTGCAGCACCACACCAGGACTCCAAATCCAAGGTGTATCTGCATGGAAACACTCTAGAGCGGAGCAAAGAGCACTGGACTGGGAGTCCAGAGACAACTCTGGGACCAACTGCTCTGTGACTCAGGGCAGTCACTTTCTTTCTCTGTACCTCTTGACTTGTCAACAAAAGCAGGAGATAAACCCAAAATATTATCCCTGTCAGGTTCATATCAAGGCAGCCCCTGTATAAATGTAGGTACTGGGTCACCAGGGCTGAGCTTCTCTCTAACCCAGTGGCTGTCAACCAGGGGCGATTTTGCTCCCCAGGGGATACTTGGCAATGTCTGGAGATGTTCTTGGTTGTCAATGTAGGCATTTAGGAGTAGAAGTTAGAGAAGCTGCTAAACACTCCACAGCTCACAGGATAGCAGCCCCCAACAAAGACAGTTGTGCGGACCTCAGTTAACAATAGTGCTGAGATTGGCACGATCGGATGAGTACTGGACTGCTAATTAATAGATCGGTAGTTCAAACCCACAAGCCGCTCCTTGGAAACTCTATACAGGGTCGCTGCGAGTTGGAACCAACTTGATGGTATTTCACAACAACAGCAGAAAAAGGGCCATTGAGGAAGCTCCTCAAATTTGGCTCTCTCATCTGTAAAATTGTGCAAAACACCTACTGTGCCTGCCAGGCACGGGGCTGTAACAGACATTGTGGTCTGGCTCGCTTCCACACCCATTACCAAACTCTATCCCTCTTCCTCCTCTATCATAAAACCAAACCAGTCAACAATGAATTGATTCTGCCTCACGGCGAACTCATGTGTGTCAGAGTAAAGCTGCTCCACAGAGTTTTCAGTGGCTGATCTTTTGGAACTTGATCACCAGGACATTCTTCTGAGGTGCCTCTGAGTGGACTCAAACCTCCAACTGAGTGTGTTAACCATTTGTCCCTTCCATAGATTCTTTCCTCTACTACGGCTGTCATTGGTCAGAACTGTTGAGTCAATTCTGATTCACAGTGAATACGTATAAGGTTTCCAAGGACTGACTGGTAGGTTTGATCCACTGACCTTGTGGTTAGCAGTTCAGTGCTGATCCTACAGTACCACACACTTGCCTAGGAGATATTAAAACTGGAATCTCCGTTTAGTTATAGCTGGCCCTAACCATCCAAAACTGCTACCAAACATCCAGCATGTGGGCCCTTACCAACTTAGGCTTTTTTACTGACTAATGAACAACAAGGAAACATTTTCTACCAACTGTTTGTGGGTTTATAAACTCAGTCTGCCCTATCCAGGCATGACCACCAGGTACTGTCGTTGTTAAGTGTCATCGAGTTGGTTCCGACCCATAGCGACCCTGTATAGGGTTTCTGAGGAGTGACTGGTGAGCAGCTTGAACCGCCGACCTTGCATATTAGACCCTCCAATTTCTGGAAGATGAAAACCCCTGGCTCTTTCCTATCAAAAAACTACTCAATGAATTTCTTGACTGGTAACTACCCCCTTGCCTGGCCAGTAACTACATTTGATCCACCATCACCACAGAGACTGGGAAAGCAAATCACCCCAGCCTCCATTGCAGTTAAGGCAGTCATGTGACACAGTCTGGCCAATGACATGGAAGAAGAGGTCTGCTAGGGTTTCAGGGAGAAGATGATTTACTGATAAAGACTGACCTGGCTTATTCCTCCTTGTCTTTGAATCTGGGAGTGATGTATGGAGCAGAGGTCATCATATTATAACCAAAAGCCACAAAGCAGAGACTAAAGCCAGCACACTAAAGATGGAAGAGTCTAGGTCTTGTTGGCATCATGAGAAGGTACAAATGAACCCATGCTGGTGGTGATGGTTGTGTGCCGTGGAGTCGGTTCCAACTTGTGGCAACCATGTATAGGGTTTCCGAGGCTGTAAATCTTTACAGGAGCTGAAAGCCTCATCTTTCTCTTGCGGAACCACTGGTGGTTTTGAACTGCAGACCTTACGGTTCACAGCCCGATTTGTAACCACTATGCTACCAGAGGTCCTTGATCCTATGCTAGCAGCTGTCACTATCTGGACTATTAGGTCTGAACCAACACAAAGCTCCTTTGTTTTAAGTCACCCTGAGGTTGTTTCTCTGTTACTTGCAGCCGAGTGCCTTCCTGGTGGAAAATTCATGAACTATGTCAGCATTGTGCATCCAAGAAAAATCGTCCTCAGGTGCTACTATATAAACTGCAAATTAAAGGTGAGCTGATTTGATTGAAATGGGGGGGGGGCGCGGGGAATGGACAACCCCAGGTCCAACCCCACAGATAACCTTCCAAGGTTCTTCCGTGGAATACCAAAGTATCCTGGAACTCAATGTGAAACCACTCTTCATAAGAATATTCTTAGAGAACTCCATGGGGACGATGGTTATTGTGGTCAGCTGAGTGTACGGCACAGACAGTGCTGTAAACTTGGCTAAGCGGATTTAGCTTACAGACTTAGCTGTTGCTGTAGGCTGACAGCAAGGTGGCCCCTGACACACAGGGACCCCATGCACAACAGAACTGCCTGGTCCTGTACCATTCCATAATCAGTTGTGGTCTGGACTACTGTGAGTCATAGGATTTGATGAAAACCATGCCTGATTTTTGGAGGTCGTTTGCCAGGCCTTTCCTCCTAGTCTTAGTCTGGGATCTCCACTGAAATGTTCGGCCTCAAAGCAACATACAAGCCTCCACTGAACGACAGGTGGGGCCTGCACAGGAGGGGTCCTGGCAGGAATCCAACCCAGGTCTTTGCATGGAAAGCAAGAATTCTACTGCTGAAACACCAGTGTCTGAGCAAACACTATACCAGCTGCTGTCAACTTGGACTCATGGTGACCCCGTGTGTGTCAGAGTAGAACTGTGCTCCACAGGGTTGTCAATGATTGAGGGTTCAAAAGCAGATCACCAGGACTTTCATCTGAGGCACCTGTGGCTGGACTCAAACATCCAGCCTTTCAGTTAGCAGTCAATCAGGTTAACCATTCACACCACCCAGAGACTCTGAACAGACACTATTCCCATTTAATAGTGAGGAAATAAGCCATGTCCAAGGGCATGCACGTGCGGCCACTTCCTCAGCCCCTGATTTGTATTTCATGCTCACAGTCTCTTCATCCCATAGAAGATGGCCCCAATCCCCAAGGGCAAAGCCTGGCCAGCCTTTCCTTGACTTCCCCAGGGCTCTGCACACTGGGCAGATTGGGCAGAATTCAATACTCCCCCCGCCGGACACTGAGGAGGGGAAGAGAAGGACACTTACCACTTTGGCTTCTCCATGCAGGCAGGAGGGCTTCTCTGTAAAGAGACAGGGATAGATCAGGAAGAGTGACACTTGGACACCTCTGATCTAAGCAGGAGGGCCACGTGGGGTGCAAGCAGAACTTTGGATGAGGCTGGGCTCCCATCATGCCCCAATCCCACCCTCTGTTCAGGATGCCCTTTCTTCCCTGCATACTGTCTGCCATCTAAACCATGTCCAGCTCAAGGAGACCTGCTCCAAGCAGTCCCTGGACAATTATCCTGAACTCCCACCCCCTTTCACAGCTCTGGTCGCGTCTTGTTTGTTAGTAGGAACTTTGTGGGCATGTCCCCACCTCAAGATGCAAGTCCCTACAGACAGGGACTGTGATGTCCAATTCTGCCTGATCCCTGGAAGACCCCCAGGAAGCACCCTGACACGCTTACTGAGTAAGGGGGTGAGAGAGCATGCCCAGGAAGGCAGGAAGGACATCTTACTTTTCCTCTGAGTCATGATGATACAGTTCACCAGCACTATTGCCAACAGACCCACGGCCGTCACTCCGACAATCAACCCTAGAAAGTAAAGACAAGGAACAGACTGAGATAGCTCCAAGGGCCAAGCAGCTCAGGGTCAGGCAGAACAGCTACAGATGGCAAGCCCAGTCTAGAGACTCTCAAACTCAATTACAGATTAAACACAAACAAAATATATCTGTGGGTAGACCCAGCCCCAGGACCACCAATTTGAGAGCTCTGGCCTGATGTGACCCTAAACCCAAAGGGAAGGCTGGTGTGAGCTGGCTCGGTCCTCTGTCACCAGAAATGATGATCTACCTCATCTTCACAGGTGGTGAAATGCTAACTACCATCTCTCCCCACCCAAGGATTCTTGGGAACAGCATCAAGAGTCCGGAGAGGGCACCAGTCTTGCTGACACCCTGTATCCCAGAAGAGAGCACAGGATCCAGCCCACAGCAGGCTCTCATGAAGACCCTGTGAGTGAGTGAGTGGGTGCGTAGGTGAGTGACTGTGTGAGTGTGTGCGTGTATGAGTGAGTGTGTGAGTGTGTGTGTGTGCGTGTGTGAGTGAGGGTGTGAGTGAGTGTGTGAGTGAGTGTGTGAGTGAGTGGGTGGGTAGGTGAGTGAGTGAGTGTGTGAGTGTGTGTGAGTGTGAGTGAGTATGTGAGTGAGTAAGTGAGGGTGTGAGTGAGTGAGTGAGTGTGTGAGTGAGTGTGTGAGTGAGGGTGTGAGTGTGTGAGGGTGTGAGTGAGTGAGTGCGTGTGTGAGTGAGTGAGTGTGTGAGTGAGTGAGTGTGTGAGTGAGTGTGTGAATGAGTGAGTGTGTGAGGGAGTGAGTGAGGGAGTGTGTGAGTGAGGGAGGGAGTGAGTGAGTGTGTGAGTGAGTGTGTGAGTGTGAGTAAGTGTGTGAGTGTGAGTGAGTGTGTGAGTGAGTGAGTGAGTGTGTGTGTGAATAAGTGTGTGAGTGAGTGAATGAATGAATGAGTGAGTGAATGAATGAATGAATGAATGAGTGAGTGAGTGAATGAATGAATGAATCCTCTGTGGCTTACCAATTGGGAGAGTGAGACTGCCTGTGCTGAGTTCCTCAACCGGAAGGCTTGGACCCAACGAGCGCAGAGGGAAGGTGCTCAGAGCTGTATCAGGTCCTGGAGTGGATTCCATGGGCTGGGGTCTTGTGGACCCTGCCTGGTGTGTGGTGACTGGCCCCAAGGTCACCATCAAGGCAGGAGTCAGAGCCTTGCAGACTGTGTCCATGTTTGCGTTGCCAGGGATGGCCACCACGCTACAGCTGCAGGAGGAAGAGGCTGGATCAGGACGTGGCAGTCCAGCAGACAAGGAGTCCAGTGGTCAGGATGGGAGGTGAGTGTATGTATCATACCCTGTTTCAGGACAGTCCTCCCGTTTCTCCCTGTCCATGCACCCCATCCGGAGACTCAACCAGACCAGGCACCGTGTGCACACCCCTCCCTACACCTCTATTAGCAAAAGACCCAGTCACTCACTTCCGATGAGGCCGGCATGTGTCTGTAGATGAAGTCGTGTTGGAGAATGTCCCTGGGCCACAGGGAGTACACACCACATTTGAGTTTTCATTTCCTGCAGAGGGAAATTATGACCTGTCACCAACTTCCTGGGACAGGTAGGCCTGGGCACTGGAGCCCAAAAGGAGCCTCTCAAAACACATAAACACACCATCCACAGCTGGACTCAGGATCTCACGGGCCCATTTTCCCATGGTCTCCTCTGATATTCTAGTAGCTTAGGGTTCAACCTTTGGATCCACCTTTGGATCCCCAGGACCTAGCACACAGCAGGCACCTAATCTGGAGGGTTGGGGAAAGACAGACTGGTAGGTGGATGGACAGATGACTGGATAGCAAGCACCTGGCCACCACCCCTGAAGACGCTTGCTGTCTATTCTGATTGGTGGAAGCCTGTGACTTGGCAGGGATACTATGAAGGGAACTCCCAAATCTGGCCATACCTGGTCTGGCAACTCCAAAGCCGGGCGGGCACTTGCGCAGTCGGGTACAAAACCGGCACCCATCTTTCCTCATCGCCGTGCAGTACCATCCTGGCTTGCAGGTACACATGCGGTTCTGCTTCCGAGTGCAGGTTTGAGCTTCCATCAGGGCTAGAGGAGTGACAGGCAGCCCAGAGTCATTTCCACCGGCCTGCCCACTGTGCCGCTCCACTCTGACCTCCCAGCCAGCTCGGTACTCCGGAAAGTTCTTATCTCCAGGAGGAGGGTGGGCAACCCTCAGCATTGTGGCGAAAAGAACACTGGCCACAGAATCCCAGCTCTACTATGGCCTGAGCAAACCCCGTCTCTTCTCTAAGGTGCAATGTCCCTAGCTCTAGGGTCCATGCCCGCCTGCCCCATGGGGCTTTAGGAAGATAGTGAAACCCAGGATGAAAATGCCATTTGAAAATGATAAAGAGTCATGCCCATGTGAGCAATCAACATGGAACATGGAGGCCACTGGGCTGGAGTAGCCCCAGCCAGGTCTCGGGTAAGAGACTGGAATGCATAGTAGCCAGGGGAGAGTGCCGGGGACCACCTCTCTCTCTCTGAGGTCCACTTACAGGGGCTGCAAGGGGAGTCACAGCTGAAGCATTCAGGGACCCAGTTCCAGAGCTCGGTGTACGTGCCGTCCTCACAGGCATCACACACTGTGTCTGAGGTCGCGGTGCAGAAGGTCCGTACATGCTCACCTGAAAAGGCAAGGGCCACAGGTCTTAGGGAATGAGGCCTCTGCCAAGACTCTGGGCTCACCCACAGCTCCCAAGTCCCAGAATACTGAGGCCTAACTGCGGACACTCTCTGATGAAGTTCACATTTCTCCATTGACTCACCTGAAGGAAGTCCTTCAATCTCAGTACTTAAAAGTCACACAAATCTAAGTTCTATTCTCAAATCTGGCATATACCAGTGTTTAGTCTACCTTTGAACCCCTATTCTACATAAAATACCTTTCTTCTGCTCTTTCCAGGTGCCACCATTGGAAGCCTATTATCAGTCAATCACTCTTTAGCGAGAAATAGTTTATTAGCAATGTAGTTAGTTCCTGAGATTCTATTAAGGATGAGAGTATAGGATCCCTGAAGGTATGAAGATAAGGTAAGCCAGGGGATGGGAGAATACCAAGGCAAACCTTTAAGGAATTTACTCTTCTAAGTCTCATCCCCATTCCTATCCTGCCATGCAGTGCTAAACTAGTAACTTCTTAAACTAATAATTAACGACTTCTTAATAGAAAAAAGAACAGACTTGATACATTAAACACTGAAGACCAAAGACCAGAAGAGTTGTGGGATGACATCAAGAACATCATACATGAAGAAAGCAAAAAATCATTGAGAAGACAAGAAAGAAGGAAAAGGTCAAAATGGATGTCAGAAGAAGACACTGAAACTTGCTCTCCAGTGTAGAAATGCTAAAGCAAATGGAAGAAATGAGGAGGTCCAAGAGCTGAAGAGAAAATTTCAAAGATTAGCTCGAGAAGATAAAGCCAAATTTTACAACAAAATGTGCAAAGATCTGCAATCAGAAAACCAAAAAGGAAGAACACGCTCAACATTTCTCAAGCTGGGGGAACTGAAGAAAAAACTCAAGCCTCAACTTTTGTTATTGAAAGATTCTCTGGGCAAATTATTGAATGATGCAGAAAGCATCAAGAGAAGATGAAAGGAATACAGAGTCACTGTACCAAAAGGAAATGGCTGATGTTCAACCATTTCAAGAGGTACCATATGATCAAGAGCCAATGATACTGAAGGAGGAAATCTAAGGTGCATTGAAAGAATGGGCAAAGAACAAGGCACCAAGAATTGATGGAATCAAAATTGAAATCTTTCAAGAAAGTGAGGCGGCACAGGAGGCACTCAATCATCTATGCCAAGAAATTTGGAAGACCACTATCTGGCCAACTGATTGGAAGAGATCCATATTTGTGCCCATTCCAAAGAGAGATGACCCAATGGAATGCGGAAATCATAGGACAATCTCTTTGATATCCCATGTGAGTAAAGTTTTACTAAAGGTAATACAGAAACGGCTACAATCATATATTGACAGAACATCCAGAGGTTCAAGATAGATTCAGAAGAGGACGTGGAATGAGGGATATCATTGCTGATGTCCAATGGATCTTGGCTGAAAGCAGAGAATATTGGAAAGATGTTTATATGTGCTTTATTGACTATGCAAAGGCTTTCGATTATGTGGGTCATGACAAGCTGTGGACAACATTGCAAAGTATGAGTATTCCTGAACACTTAATTGTGCTCATGAGGAATCTGTACCCGGACCAAGAAGCAGTTGTTCAAACAGAATAGGGAACACTGAATGGTTTAAAACTAAGAAAGGTGTGTGACAAGATTGTATTCTTTTACCATACTTAATGAATCTGTATGCTGAGTCAATAATCTGAGAAGCTGGGTTCTATGAAGAAAAACGTGGCATCAGGATTGGAGGAAGACTCATTAACAACCTGCAATATGCAGACAATAACAACCTTGCTTGCTGAAAGTGAAGAGGACTTAAAACATTTACTGATGAAGATCAAAGAGCACAGCCTTTGGTATGGATTACATCTCAATGTCAAGAAAACAAAAATCCTCACCATTGGGACCAATAAACAACATTGTTATCAACAGAGAAAAGATTGAAGTTGTCAAGGACTCCATTCTTCTTGGACCAACTATCAACACTCACAGAAGCAGCAGTCAAGAAATCAAACGACATATTGCATTAGGCAAATCTGCTGCACAGGACCTTTTTAAAGTGTTGAAGAGCAAAGATGTCAGCTTCAGGACTAAGGTGAGCCTGACCCAAGCCATGGTATTTTCAATAGCCTCATATGTATGCGAAAGCTGGACAGTGACTAAGGAAGAATGTAGAAGAATTGATGCCTTTGAGTTGTGGTGTTGGAGAAGAATATTGAAAGTGCCACGGCTGCCAAAAGAACCAACAGATCTGTTTTGGAATAAGTGCAGTCAGAGTGCTCCTTAGAGGCCAAGATGGCCAAACTTTGTCTATTACACTTTGGACATATTGTCAGGAGGGACCAGTCGCTGGAGAAGGATATCATGTTTGGTAAGGCGAAGGGTCACAGAAAAAGAGGAAGACCCTCAGCGACATGGATTGGCCAAGTGGCAGCATTGATGGACTCAAGCGTGGCAACAGTGGTGAGGTTGGCCCAGGATCGGGCAGTGTTTCGTTCTGTTGTGCATACGGTCGCTATGGGTCAGTACCGACTCGATGGCACGTAACAACAACAACAACAACAACAGAAAGAAAAAGGGTTGCTCCCCAGGGGGCCCCTAAAATGGATGGAAGAGGTGATAGGTATGTATGTGCCTACCCACTTGTCAGGGTAATGGCTCAAACCCTCCACCGGCTTCCTGACTCCTGCCAAATCAAATCTAAACAGCTTGCCATGGCCCAGCTTACCTGTTCCCCCTTAACTCATTCTGGCCCACACCCCCTGGCCTTGCTACTCCTTAAGCCTACCAAATTGGCTCCCACCTCAGGTCCTTTGCACCTGCTGTTGCTTCTTCCTGGCTTGTCATTCCCTGTATTTTTGTATGACTTGCTCTATCACCTCCTCCAGGTTTCCAAGTGTCACCTCCTTGATCACCCCATATAAAGCATCATGCCCACTCCATCTGTCTCCATTTGCCTTAACCTCTTCACTTACCACTGTCTGATAAGACCACACATCTATTTCACCTGTTGGTTCAAATCCCTTGTCCTCCATTAGAATGTGAGCTCTATGAAGACAGAGATTTTGTCCGCCCTGCTTTCTGTTGTACTCCCATCACTTAAAAACAAGGTTTGACACACAGGTGCTTTCTAAAAATAGGAATATATAAATGAAGGGATGGATGAATGGCATTGGGGCAGGTCACCTGGCTCTTCCAACTGGGGCTAGGCCTCAGGTCTGTCATCTGTGAAATGGGTATGCATTCGTTGTTTCAGTCAAATATATACTGAGTATATACTATGTGCCAGGCATTGTGCCAAGTGCTGGGGATTCAGTGCCGGGGAAGGACATGTCCCCTCTGTCCCCAGAGGAGCACACACGTGTGTGTGTGTGTGTGTGTGTGTAGGAGGGATGACAAGAAAGTAACCATGACAATCTTTTTCCTTTTTTTAGGAAAGAAAGTAACTAGACCATTCTTACACAGTGTCAAATGACCTGCAATGAGGGAACACAAGGACCAGTGGGGGCTCAAAGGAGGCAGTGTGGGACAGGTTGCGGGGACACCAAAGCTGAGATCTATGGGAGTTGAAGAACTGTGCTAGGCAGAGAGAACAGCATGGTAAAGGCCCAGAAGCAAGAACAAGCCTGAAGTCAGTTTATGGGACTTGAAAGAGTTCAGTACGAACCCAGGCCTCGCCCCTGCCCATCCACCCGTACACACACACTCCCTCCCGGATACTGTCCCCAGGTTCAGGCCCCGATGACTGGCTTCTTACCAGGCTTACACAGGCTGCAGCACATCTGGGCCGTCCTGTCATAGTACTGGTTCGGCTGGCATTTGGTGCTATTCTCCAGCTCCAGGGCCGGGGCAGGGGGGAGCAGCGCAGCCTGGAGCAAGAAGGAACAGACACATAGCCATCAGCAGGTCACTCTGGGTTCCACAACTGCAAATGCCAAGCCTCCACCCAGATGGGGATCATTCCTTTTTGGAGGGGGAGGGCTAGGCAGAGTTCCTGCCTTCTTTCACCCCCACACCCCCACTCCTAGTATAGCACGCAGGCAGAGGCGCTGAGCCAGAAAGGCCAAGGTGGGTACAGATGGCTTTAACCTACAGCAGGCCAGGCACAGAGCCCTGAATCTGGCCAGAAGGCAGTCTTTCATAGTGCAAAGTAATCCTCTGCCTAGGATGTCTCCTTGTGCAACCAGCCAAACTCCCCTTTCTCCCTCAGGCTCAGTGCCACTTCCTCGGGGAAGCTCACCCTGGCTCCTCAGCCTCTCAGCTCTCTAGAAAGTTGGGCATGCCCATTCTACAATCACTTCATGGTTCAGAAATGGCTTCCTGCTTGTGTCCTGGCCCTGCATGGTGCATACACACACACAGCACACAGGTCTGTGATGGTGGTCTCATCACCTGGGACCCTCAGCTCTGGTACGGCCTGCTGCCGTCTGTGCTCAGTAAAGAATGCTTGTTGAGACCGACTGGAAATACTTACAGGGAAGCAAGTCTGCTCTGGGTGCATCGGATGCTCTTATCAATGGGTACCATTGGAGACCCACCCAGACCCCTCTGCTGACGCCAGTTGCTGTGGGTGTTGGCTGCTAACAGTTCCCACCACTGGAAGGCAGTCCCCTGGCCTCCACGAGAGACCCATGTTGTGATGCAATTTACTCCCAGAGCTCCTACAGGATCAGGCTGAGGCTGCTCCCAGTGGAGATCACCCCCTTGCTTGGCTTCTTCCTGGGCCTATCGAGTTGCCCTCACTCACCCGAAGAGTTCCTGCCTCAGGCTTTGCTTCTACAAGCCTTGACATAGACAGGTGTGTGGTCTCAGGCAACCCTCCCAACAACCCACTGAAGAAGGTAGTTTTCCTATGGCCAAACATCCAGGGTCAGTGAGTTCCAAAGACAGATTCCAATTCAGGTCTACCGTCTTGACTTATGATCTCAACCTCTGTATTTGATGCCACCATGAACTGATGAACAGTGCAGTGAATAAGAAGAAAGAGGCGGGAAAAGAAAAGTGGTACACAGAATGTACGGAAGTGGAGAGAAACACAGAGTTCTCCATCAGATCTCGGGCAGACCCTGGAGGTGCACATGGGGCTGCTGACAGTCAACTCCGGCACACTCTTGAGATCTGCCTTTCCTCCTTAAAGATAGGAGCTAGAGATCCAGGCCTCTTGGATGAACAATGATTAGTCACATATACAAGTCTATGAGGTCCCTGGGTAAACACACAGTTCATACTCAACTGCTAGCTTAAAGGCCGGCGGTTCAGACCCACCTAGTAGAGCCACAGAAGAATGACCTGGTAATCTTCTGTCGAGATTATGGAGCGGTTCTACTCTAGGACACGTGGGTTGTCATGAGTCTGAATCAACTCCACAGTAATAAGTTTGATTTTTTGTTTTTTGAAACAGCTATGAGCACGCTCAGAGTGGGGGTATGCACATGGGTATGCGCATGACTGCTCAAGCAAAGAAGAAGGCTTATACCCACTGAAAATCTCAGCAACATGTGCTTCTTGTAAGGAGCAATGCAGCAATTCTAGGATGGCAGAGTTATAGATTGGGTCTTGCCCCATTCCATTCCTATCTGAAATCATAGTGCTAGGTGCCCCAGTCAGTACAAGCTCAACAAACCTTTACTGACCAAGTAATGAGGACTCTCCCTAGAGGAGGGAAGAGAGACTACAGTGTCTGGAGTCAGAGACCTGGCTTCAAATCCTCATTCCATCACTTCGCAGCTGTGTGGCTTTAAGCAAGTGTCTTAACCTCTCTGAATTTTACTACATAATACATAGAAACAAGAGAGATTCTCAAAATATTTAACAACCAGCAGACTGACCAGTTTACTCTGGACATCAACAGTAAACAAAGCTATTTGAGCAGGTATTGCCACAACTCTAGATACAACTGGGCCAGTATGGCGGCTGTGTGCCGTGGAGTCAGTTCTGACTCATAGCAACCCTGCACAGGGTTTCCGAAGCTGTAAATTTTTACGGGAGCAGAACGCCTCATCTTTCTCCCACGGAACAGCTGACCTTGAGGTTCGCAGTCTGATAGGTCTGGCAAATTTTGACCCTACAAAGAAGGCGAATATCTGATATCAAGGTGAGTTCACTTGAGCATCCCTTCCCACCCCTCAGTTCTGTCTGGGAGTCTAGGGAAGGCTGGGCTTTTGGCTGGCCCCGCAGGGAGGGAGTGAGCCGTTGGCCTGGAAACTCAGCCATCTGACTGCTCATCTGTACGTAATTAGGATCCACAGTGGGAACTTCATCAGAGGTGACAACCCAGCAGAGCCAAATGTTCTACTTCCGGGTCACTTAGGCCTCTGAGAGACCCTGGCCCTGTGTCTTTACCCAAGCTATCTCCTCCACCTGGTAAGGCTTTAAAAAACCTTTCTCAGATAGTGCCCTGCTCGAAAAACTTCCCCACCTGCCCCTCACTCTGAGTGAGCCCCTCGGACCTGGCATTGGAGCCACTCCTCTGATGTGGCTGTGAGCAGACAGATGGCCATCACTTTTCTGACTGTGGCCGCAGCCTGGTGGCTCTGCACGCAGCAAGGGCTCAGACTCAGCTGACCTAAGCATGGGTTCCATGACAGTGGTCACTTCCTTCAGGAAGACCCAGTGCCAGGCCACTTCGCCTGCTTCTGAGGCACCATGACCCACTTCACCCCAGACCCAGAGCCAGGACCAAACCCCAGGACAGTTGCCTGAGTGAGGCTGGGAGAGATGCCATGGCTGGGAAAGGGAAGTGGGGACCATTCTGCATAGCAGGTTCCAAAAATAACTATGACTTCCTTGTAGACTGTAAGCTCACATGTATGTGTGTACACATGTGTGCACCCACACATGTGAGCCTGTATGCATACACATGCATGCACATGCTCACACTTGCACAGTGCACACATGCTTATGCAAACACATGCACATGTATGTACAGACATGCCTTCATGCTTAATTCCAGTCCCTCTCCCCTCCCAGGCTGGCCCTGAAACAGACTGCCAGGCACCCTTGGCCAAAGGGAGAAGCAGGGCTTGGGATCCCCTACCTGGACTTTTACAATGTGTGGGAGGGGGCAATGCCTACTTTTAAAGCATCCCTGATACAGACTCCAACTGACTCAAACGGAGGCGGAACCTCCGGATTAGGCCTAGAAAGAAACAGAAACCTCCCCCAGTGATTCTGACACTCCAAGGCTGGTCCCCGTGGGCAGAACAAGATGACTGGGACATACATGGAGAAGACTGAGGAGTCTGGTTTGATCTGAGCAGCCCTGTCAGCTATCAGCCACTCCCTACACAGAGGGACTATGCAGACACAGAAAGGACAGCCTCCCCCGCCCCCCAACAGAACTCAACTGAATATTACCTGAGGCTGAGGGCCTAACTGTCCTTACGCCCTCCAAACGGGCCCCTGTAGCCTCCATTCAGCTGGGAGCATCCCAAGGAAAGGGGCTGTGTTTCCCCCAGCTTTGACTGAGCACTGTCCCCCAGGAGCTGCCTCCTGCCTCAGACAGCATCCCTGTGGGGGCGGGGGGAGCTGTGCCTCCTTCCCTTGCAGCCCTCTGCCCGGCAAAGTAGCCACACAAGTTTCACGGGAACCCTACACCCCAGGTGGGATGGTGGGTGCTACTTTGTCCCACAAACTCCCTCAGCAGTAGCTAAGGGAGCCCCCATTCTTAAGGGCCACGAAGGCTCCAGGAAGGAAGCTAAGTCATCTCTTTCCCCTACCCAAGGGGCTTTTCTGGTAGTGTAGACCACTGGGGGCAGCATTTCCTGTCAGGGCTCCAAGGGCCTGTTGGGAAAGGGCCTTGTGGTGGCCAAGTCTGTTCTCTGCCAAAGGCAGGCGATGGCTGGACCTCTCTCCCCACATAGACCCCGCCTCCCATCCTTCCTTCCATCTGCACCTTCAGTCTGAAGGGTCTTGCCTCCACTTTCCCTGCTGCTCCACAGGACTCCAGCCCCAGTGGATGGTGCAGGGGTCAACGCTCCCTTGAGCAATCTTCAGGCCTGTTTATCCTCTTAGAAAAAAAAATCCCATTGCCCTGTCATTGCTAAACAATGAGGAACAGAAAACCCCTCAGTGAGCAAGCAGGACAAAAGGTCATTCCCTCCAGCCTGAGGCTCCCAAGAGCAAGAACTGAGCCCAAACCACAGCCCTGGGAGCCAGGCCCAGGTCACCGCAGAGACCCTGCAGGGACTCCAAAGGTGAGTTGCCTCTGGGCAACGCTGGGCCAGGGAAGCCTACAGAGGCTTTTCAATGAGTTGGGGAGGCTCATGTTCATATCTCACTCCCACCCCAAAGAGGATCTCTGATTAGTGGTTTAAAATGAGGAAACAGATTGAATAGCACTGGACTTACTCAGCACGTTTAGCAAGCCCAGTCTTTCAAAACACTGGGTGCCAAGATGAATATTTGGAAATTGGTGATGAGAGTTAATGCCCACTGAAAAGATGAGGAAACTGCAGTCTGGTGGTAGGAGATAGTATCAGGAGACACATATAAAAGACACAGAATACTGCACTTGGGTCCAACAACAAATTTGTGTAGTCAGTCTGACTGTGCCCAGAAGAGAAAATCAAGGCAGAAGAAGTGCCACCTCCCTGGTCTCCCGGAGACTTTGTATCCTTCCAAGGCCTTGTTGGTGGCAGGCAGCTAGGGGGTTGGGCACAGCAGACCCACTAGCAGCCACTCTTCAGAGCTGCCAAGAAATCTGGGCTACAGCTACCTGCCCGACTGGAAAAGATCCATATTTGTGCCCACTCCAAAGAAAGGTGACCCAACAGAATGCAGAACTCATCGAATAATATCATTAATATCACATGCAAGTAAAATTTTGCTGAAGATAATTCAAAAACATAGCAGTACATCAAAAGGGAGC